ACTCGGGTGCTGCTGAGGGTGCTGAGCCTGGGGGTGCTGAGCCTGGGGGTGCTGGGCCTGGGGGTGCTGAGCCAGGGGGTACGGGGCCTGGGGGTGCTGAGCCTGAGGGTGCTGAGCTTGGGGGTGCTACGTCTAGGGGTGCTGAGCCAGGGGATGCTGAGCCTGGGGGTGCTGAGCCTGGGGGTGCTGAGCCTGGGGGTGCTGAGCCTGGGGATGCTACGCCTGGGGGTGCTGAGCCTGGAGGTGCTCCGCCTGGAGGTTCTCTGGGTGCTTCGTCTCGCCGGGAGCCACTCTCTCCACAGGTGCTGTGCGAGTGGTTTGCCCGGCGCTGGCGCTGTACTGCTGGTGCTGGAGGTTCTTCGATTGCTGAGGGTGCTGCTGTTGCGGGTCCCGGAGGTGCTCGTACAGGGAGTACTGGAGCTGCTGGGCCTGCAGGTTCGACTGGAGCTGGTGCTGCTGAGGGTGTTGGCGCTGAGACTACCGCTGGCGGTCCTGCTGGGGGTGCTCCTGGTGCTGCTGGAGGTTGTGGAGCTGCTGGAGGTGCAGCTGGAGCGGGTGCTCCTGCTTGGGGTACTGGTGCTGTCCCTGCTGCTTCTGGCGTTGCCACGTGGCCCCGACCGTACTTCGTTCCACTCCTGCAGCAGGTTCTTGGTCTTCCACCTTCTACTAGTCCTCCTCCCTTAGAGTGTCCACAGCCTGTCCCGTCACAGTTACAGTTGCTGCCTACCTCCCCTTGCCCTAGTCCTTCTCCCTACACTGGTCCTACTAGAGGTCTTGCTGAACATCGTGAGCCTGCGTCTCGCCCTGCGTCGCCTGTCCGTCCTGCTCGCACTAGTGGTCGCGGTTCGCGTCAGCATCCTCCTCCTGTCCCAGGCACGCACAGGATGTCTCTGCGTCCGTCCACTGCTCCTCTGCGTGCCCCTTTGCCTTCTCCTCCTGAGTCCTCTCTTCCTGCTCTTGCCGACCCGGAATCGGACTCTCTTCGTGCTGCCAGTCCTACTGTCACGCGTCTCCTTGCTACTGTTGTCACTGACCCTTCCTTTGAGTCCACTGCTGCGTCTGCCCTAGTTGCTGAGCTCGTCGACTTTGCTGCTCGCTATCACCTAGACTACGCTGCTAGTCTTGTCGTTGAGTCTGAGTCTGTCTGTCCTCCGTCTGTCAGGGGTGAGTGTGCCCTTGGCACAGACGTCCTTGAGGACAGGCAAGAGGAGTTCCAGTGTCTGGCAGCTGCTTCACCTCATCTCGTGTCTGTATTGCTTACCCCTGAGGGAGACCCGGATGCACTTGACATCCCGACTCCGCGCTCTTACGCGGAGGCGATAGAGGGTCCCTACTCCTCTCAGTGGCAGGCAGCTATGGATGCAAAGATGGCTTCCTGGAAGTCCACAGGCACCTACGTTGACGCTGTCCCCCCTCCTGGGGTGAACATCGTCAGTGGCATGTGGATCTTCAGGGTGAAGCGGCCGCCGGGTTCTCCGCCTGTCTTCAAGGCGCGTTACGTGGCTCGTGGCTTCAGTCAGTGGCAGGGAGTTGACTACTTTCAGACCTTCTCCCCCACCCCGAAGATGACCACTCTTCGGGTACTGCTGCACGGTGCTGCTCACCGTGACTACGAGCTCCACTCTCTCGACTTCAGCACAGCTTTCTTGCAGGGCAGCCTGCACGAGGAGATCTGGCTGCGCCGCCCACCTGGCTTCACTGGGTCTTTCCCTCCTGGTACCCAGTGGAGTCTTTGGCGTCCAGTCTACGGTCTCCGCCAGGCGCCACGTGAGTGGCACGACACACTGAGAACTACGCTTGCGGCTCTTGGGTTTGCTCCTTCTACAGCCAACCCGTCGCTGTTTCTGCGCACCGACACCTCTCTGCCGCCATTCTACATCCTTGTGTATGTCGATGACTTGGTCTTTGCCACAACTAACACACCTACGTGAAGTCCGAGCTGCAGAAGAGACACACGTGCACAGACCTGGGTGAACTGCGCAGCTACCTTGGCTTGCAGATCACCCGGGACAGAGCACGCCGAACCATTACCCTGACTTAGTCACACATGGTGCAGCAGGTCCTTCAGCGCTTCGGCTTCACGTACTCCTCGCCTCTGGCCACTCCTCTGCCTACCCGCCACTCACTCTCAGCTCTGCCTTCGGATGAGTCCGTAGAGTCGAGTGGCCCGTATCCAGAGCTTGTTGGCTGCCTCATGTACCTGATGACCTGCACACGACCTGACCTTGCATAACCTCTTAGCATTCTTGCACGCTATGTTGCTCCTGGGAGACACCGACCAGAGCACATGGCTGCAGCGAAGAGGGTGTTGCGCTACTTGTGCAGTACGTCGTGCATGGGGCTAGTGCTTGGAGGGCGGAGTCCAGTGGTCCTCACTGGGCACGCGGATGCTTCTTGGGCTGACGACCAGGCTACGCAGCGGTCGTCACAGGGTTACACCTTCAGCCTTGGTTCCGGCTCTGTTTCGTGGCGGGCTACTCGCTCGTCTTCTGTTCTCGACTCCATTTGTGAGGCTGAGATTTACGACGGGGCCATGGCTGCACAGGAGCTTCGCTGGCTCACCTACCTGCTGACCGACCTTGGAGAGCCGCCTCGTTCTTCTCCAGTCCTGTACGTAGACAACAAGGCCATGCTGGCCTTGTGTCGAGAGTAGAGACTGGAGCACAGTACAAAGCACATTGCTCTTCGCTACTTTCTTCCTCGTGAGCTTCAGCAGCGTGGACAGTTGCGGCTTGCGTACGTGGCCTCTGAGGCCAACACTGCTGATGTCTTCACCAAGGCACTTGCGCCTTGTGATCATCAGCGCTTCTGCACTCAGCTGGGTCTTGTGTCTGTCTTGCCTCACTTGCTCACCTCTTGACCTTGCTTGTACTGTCATATATATATATATATATACCTGCTCTTGCTTGTCTAGCTTTATATATATGTGTACACTTGCATGTGAACTGGCCTTGTGGCCTTTACCTTCTGCTCGGACTGTGTGGTGACTTTGAGATCCACCCTGAGCTTCCTTTGCTTTGCTGGACTGGTCTTGTGACCCCTTGTTCTCCCCCACTTTGCCTATGGGGGTGTGTCAGAATGTTATATACCTTATACATTTGTGTAGGCTATAGTGGGGTATCCCATAGTGGGTACAACCCAATTAGGGCTAGTACTTGTACTCACTCCTTTCATAGTTCATCCACTCTCATTTCTATTTCGTCAGGAACAGACAACAGTGCTCCTGGTGGGGCTGCTGTGGACTGCTGCGGAGTGGTGTAGAGTGGTGTGCGCTGGTGTGGGCTTGTGTGGGCTATTGCTGCCTCATTTGTGACATTGATGGGGTCCTGTCCCGTGGTATCGCGGGAGGGGCTGGTAGTGTGCATTCAGGTAGGCAACAGTGTTGTCATGGCAGTACACCAAGCACTATGTGGGAGGCAGTGTGCAGATGGGTAGGAAGCGGGTCTGTAGCATTCTAGCGCCTGGTTCTCTGTGCATGCGATTAGACTACCGTCAGCCCCCGGATAGAGGCGCCCTGGGGGTATAAAAAAACACTGTTTTTTAGGGGGTGCGCTTATGAGTGAGGAATTTTATAAGCGCCGGCGTTTATAAAATGGCATTTATGAAATCAGTATATTTTACACCAAACTGTACATCTCGTTCTTGTGTTTTGAATCGAGTCGAAACTATACAGGCTAGTGAATGAGAATCTCGCGATACTTGGCAGGGAATAATTCCCTGCCAACACAAACAGTTAGACTGAGTCAGTTTGCGCCTCTGACAGCTCATTCCGACTAGACACGCTGGCAGTGAGTCGAGCGAGGGTCAAGGGACCGAAATTCAAGGGTCAATTGATGCAAAAGTGAGTCTCGTTACAAAGATATCGGTAAAACTAAAGCGAAAATAAGAAAGGGAGGCGCTTATAATCCGTAAGCCGTTAGGGGTGGGCTTATAATTGAGGACCGGATATAAGCGCCCTCATCCTTTTATAAGCGTCGGCACTTTTCCGAGGCCTGCGCTTCTATCCAGGGGCGGGCTTACGGTACCATAAGCCAATGGATGGAGTTATGTTCAGCAGTCACTTAGACTTTTGCATGAGCACATTATAAGCTAAGTTGGATTACTGTATTCTCCCGGACATAACACCCTAGGGTATATCTGAAAATACAGAGAACATATGGGGGGAAGAGGTCTCCTAGCTACATAATACCTGGGTGGGTATATATGGTATATTTTAGTGTAAGAGCTTTTTTTGTTTAGACAACTTGAGTGTTTCCTTGGTCCTTCTAACATTACAAGTTGAGGCGCGAATGCCATGTGGCACCTATGCCACTTGCAACCAGGCCCTCAGAAGTCAGAGTTTTTTGTTTGATTTGCTTGAAAAAGTCCGAGATTGCGGATTTTTATTAAGGTGTACTCTGAGAAATTCAGAGTTTTTATGGCCTCAACTCTGTAAAAATCTGATTTTTTTTATCAGTTGACTATGAAATTTCATATGTTTTTAAGGAGTGTACTTTGATGAATTCACACACAAACAAGTACCGACTCTGATTGAATGTACCTGTGCGCCGACGCCCAGTATTAGCGGTGGTACATTGTACCGTAAGCCCCTGGATAGAAGCGCAGGCCTCGGATAAGCGACGGCGCTTATAAAAGGATGAGGGCGCTTATATCCGGTCCTCGATTTTAAGGGCACCCCTGAAGGCTTACGGATTATAAGCGCCACCCTCTTGTTTTTTAGTTATACTTTTACTGAAATCGTTGTAACGAAGCTCAACATTTCCATTCCCACATTTTGAATTTCGATGCCCTTTCACCCTCGCTCGGCTCAGTGGCAGCGCGTCCAGTCAGAATGAGCTGTCAGAGGCGCACGTTGACTCATTCCGACTGTGTGTGTTGGCAAGGAATCAATCCCTGCCAACTTGCACGCGAGATTCTCGATCATAGCCCTGAATAGTTTCGACATTGCCGTTGGAGTGGAAGAGTGCGAGGAGGGAAGAGGGAAGCCAAGTGTGGAGGAAATGGAGGAAGGGTTCGAAAAAGGAGGAGGAGTAGGAGATGAAGTCACAATGAAGGATGCGGGCGGCGGGGAGGGAAGAGATGGCAGAGGTGCAAGTGGCAGTGGGGGTAGCGGGCACGGCAGGGTTGGTGGCGGCGCGTCAGGTGAGGCAGTGCAGGGCGCAGGTGAGGCAGTGCAGGGCGCAGGTGAGGCAGTGCAGGGCGCAGGCGAGGCAGTGCAGGGCGCAGGTGAGGCAGCGCAGGGCGCAGGTGAGGCAGTGCAGGGCGCAGGTGAGGCAGTGCAGGGCGCAGGTGAGGCAGTGCAGGGCGCAGGCGAGGCAGCGCAGGGCGCAGGTGAGGCAGTGCAGGGCGCAGGTGAGGCAGCGCAGGGCGCAGGTGAGGCAGTGCAGGGCGCAGGTGAGGCAGCGCAGGGCGCAGGTGAGGCAGTGCAGGGCGCAGGTGAGGCAGTGCAGGGCGCAGGTGGGGCAGTGCAGGGCGCAGGTGGCGAGTGGATGGCAGCACGGTCGGGCAGACGTGTTGAGGGGAGGGGCGTGCAGGAGATGGCGGACGTGGCGCGGGAGGGAGAGCGGGAGAGGGAGAGGGAGAGGGAGAGGGAGAGGGGGAGGGAGAGGGAGAGGGGGAGGGAGAGGGAGAGGGGGAGGGAGAGGGAGAGGGAGAGGGAGAGGGAGAAGGAGAGGGAGAAGGAGAGGGAGAGGGAGAGGGAGAGGGAGAAGGAGAGGGAGAAGGAGAAGGAGAGGGAGAGTGAGAGGGAGAGGGAGAGGGAAGGAGAGAGGAAGGTCGGGAGGGAAGGGGCGAGGGAGGAGCAACTACAGGGTGGGAGCGTGCGGGAGGGGGGGGATGCGCAGGGAGAGGGAGGGGAAGGGGGGGAGGCATGTGAGGAAGGAGGGCAGAGCGAGGATCACATGAATGGGATGAGTGGGGCTGTTGATGCGAGCAAGCTGGAGGAGGGCGAGATTGAGGGCGAGGTGGAGGGGGAGGAGGAGGGGGAGGTGGAGGGGGAGGAGGAGGGGAAGGTGGAGGGGGAGGAGGAGGGGGAGGTTGAGGGGGGCGCGGACGAGAATGAGGATGGCAGTGGGGCCAGCAATGGGGAGGCAGCAGCTGGATGGGATGGCGGGTGGCGAGGCGGTGCAGTGGTGGCGCCCCTGAGTGCTGGCAGGGCTTGCAGAGCCGCCTGCAGCGCGGCTCTCAAGGCGCGCAAGAGGAAGCGGCAGAGGCAGTGGCCGAGACAGCAAAGAGAGGAAGCTGCGAGACATGGGGGTGAGGCAGGAGGAGGGCAGCACCGCGAGGCAGGAGGGCAGCACCGCGAGGCAAAAGGGGGCGATGTGGGGCCGGGCCAGACGCAGGGAGCAGCGGGGCCCAGCGCGCCATCCACGGTGCCTGTGGGCGCGCCATCCACGGTGCCTGTGGGCGCGCCATCCACGGTGCCTGTGGACGCGCCATCCACGGTGCCAGTGGGTGCGCCATCCGCGGTGCCTGTGGGCGCGCCATCCACGGTGCCTGTGGGTGGCGGCCGGGAAGTCGCCTTGCCCGTGTCCCCCTTGCCTGTGTGTCTCACGCGGCGCCAGGAGAGGCGGCACAGGAAGCGGCAGCGCATGTTGTTTGGAGGTGCCACCGCGTCGCTCTCCCACCCCTCCCTGTCCGCCACCCTCTCACTCTGACCTGTGCATCGCCGCCGTCACCCCCGCTGCTGCCTGGCCCCAGAGCTTGTCACTGCCATCGTGTGGCACATGCCTCACTGCCCCGCTGCATGCCTCACTGCCCCGCTGCATGCCTCTTTGCCCCGCTGCGTGCCTCACTGCCCCGCTGCATGCTTCACTGCCCCGCTGCATGCCTCAGTGCCCCGCTGCGTGCCTCACTGCCCCGCTGCATGCCCCAGTGCGTCGCTGCATGGTCCACTGCCCCGCTGCATGCTGCACGGATGCCTGTGCCGGCATGCTGCTGGCACGCTGCCACCGGCGCACGCAGCGAGCAAGGAGCATGTGGAACAGACAGCAGTGCTCCTGGTGGGGCTGCTGTGGACTGTTGCGGAGTGGTGTAGAGTGGTGTGCGCTGGTGTTGGCTTGTGTGGGCTATTGCTGCCTCATTTGTGACATTGATGGGGTCCTGTCCCGTGGTATCGCGGGAGGGGCTGGTAGTGTGCATTCAGATAGGCAACAGTGTTGTCATGGCAGTACAGCAGGCACTGTGTGGGAGGCAGTGTGCAGATGGGTAGGAAGCGGGTCTGTAGCATTGTAGCGCCTGGTTCTCTGTGCATGCGATTAGACTACCGTCAGCCCCCGGATAGAGGCGCCCCTGGGGGTATAAAAAAACACTGTTTTTTAGGGGCTGCGCTTATAATTGAGGAATTTTATAAGCGCCGGTGTTTATAAAATGACATTTATGAAATCAGTATATTTTACACCAAACTGTACATCTCGTTCTTGTGTTTTGAATCGAGTCGAAACTATACAGGCTAGTGAATGAGAATCTCGCGATACTTGGCAGGGAATAATTCCCTGCCAACACAAACAGTTAGACTGAGTCTGTTTGCGCCTCTGACAGCTCATTCCGACTAGACACGCTGGCAGTGAGTCGAGCGAGGGTCAAGGGACCGAAATTCAAGGGTCAATTGATGCAAAAGTGAGTCTCGTTACAAAGATATCGGTAAAACTAAAGCGAAAATAAGAAAGGGAGGCGCTTATAATCCGTAAGCCGTTAGGGGTGGGCTTATAATCGAGGACCGGATATAAGCGCCCTCATCCTTTTATAAGCGCCGGCACTTTTCCGAGGCCTGCGCTTCTATCCGGGGGCGGGCTTACGGTACCGTCTCTCCCGGATATAAGCGCCACCCTAGGATAAGCGCCTGGCGCTTCTAATTGGCATATGGCGCTTATATCCCCTCCTCGATTATAAGCGCACCCCTTGAAAAAACTTGTTTTATTATAAGCGCACGTAAACTTTAAAATTTGAAATGTGTTCAAAAAGCTGTAACGATTTTTACTTTAGCAGGTGGATATGTTGCAGATTCGGTTCCCTTCACATTCGGACCCTGCACTGGATGCGGGTCCAGTCAGCAGAACCTGTCAGGAGCTGGATGTGAGTCTGATTGGGTGTATCTCCCAGCGCGCACGAGAATTTCACAGACGATCCCATGTAACTTCGACTCGATTGAAAAGGCAAGCACGAGACCTACAATTTGGTGTTAAAAGATATAAAAAAATATGTATGTCATTTTATAAACGCCGGCGCTTATAAATTTACTCGATTATAAGCCCACCCCCATGAAAAAACCTGTTTTATTATTGCCCCCCATGGGGGTATATCCGGGGGGAGACGGTACCATAAGCCAATGGATGGAGTTATGTTCAGCAGTCACTCACACTTTTGCATGAGCACATTATAAGCTAAGTTGGATTACTGTATTTTCTCGGACATAACACCCTAGGGTATAGCTGAAAATACACAGAAAATAGGGGGGGGGGGGGGGAGGTCTCCTAGCTACATAATACCTGGGTGGGTATATATGGTATATTTTAGTGTAAGAGCTTTTTTTGTTTAGACAACTTGAGTGTTTCCCTGGTCCTTCTAACATTACAAGTTGAGGCGCGAATGCCATGTGGCACCTCTGCCACTTGCAACCAGGCCCTCAGAAGTCAGAGTTTTTTGTTTGATTTGCTTGAAAAAGTCTGAGATTTCAGATTTTTATTAAGGTGTACTCTGAGAAATTCAGAGTTTTTATGGCCTCAACTCTGTAAAAATCTGATTTTTTTTATCATCTGACTATGAAATTTCATATGTTTTTAAGGAGTGTACTTTGATGAATTCACACACAAACAAGTACCGACTCTGATTGAATGTACCTGTGCGCCGACGCCCAGTATTAGCGGTGGTACATTGTACCGTAAGCCCCTGGATAGAAGTGTCAGAATGTTCTTATCTAGCCTGTTGTGTGGTGCTCTATAGCGAGTACAACCCTGTTAGGGTTTGCTATTTGTATCCCCATTCTTGCTAGTCAAGCCCTCTTGTTTCTTTCTAATTTTGATATGCTATCAGAGCAGGTCGATCCCCTTGGATCGATCATGTGGGTGGGTTTACCACCTTCTCGCTTCCGCTGCTACTACTGCAACTACCCTCTGAGCCGCACGCCCCGTGGCGTGCGGCATTTTTTCTTCCCGCCGTGCGCCCCAAGGCGCGCGGCGGTTTTCTGCCCGCCGTGCGCCCCGGAGCGCGCGGCGGTTCTCTGCCCGCTGTGCGCCCCGAGGCGCGCGGCGGGCTTCTGCCTCGACGCTCGACGCGTCGCCTTCGGGAGGCGCTGCGACGGGCGACGGGGACCCGCGCGCCGGCCCCGCGCCGCTGCCCCGGCCCGTCGACACCCGTTCGCCGCCCGTCCTGGCCCCACGCCGCCCGTGCGTCTGCACGTCCCGGCCCCGCGCAGCTGCCCCGGCCCGTCGACGCCAGTGCGTCTGCCCGTTCCGGCCCCGCGCAGCTGCCCCGGCCCGTCGCCGCCCGTGCGTCTGCCCGTCCCGGCCCCGCGCAGCTGCCCCGGCCCGTCGCCGCCCGTGCGTCTGCCCGTCCCGGCCCCGCGCAGCTGCCCCGGCCCGTCGCCGCCCGTGCGCCGCCCGTCCCGGCCCCGCGCCGCTGTCGTGGCCCGTCGTCGCCCGTGCGGTGCCCGTCCCGGCCCCGCCTGCAGCCCCTTTTCCCGTCGCCGCTCGAGTCGACCCTCGGGGGCCGCTTGGGGAGGGGGGCGGGCGCCGCCCCTTCTGCTTCCTGTCTTGGCACCCTGGGAGGCCGCGCGTCGGTCCCCCCCCCCCCTCCGTAACCTCCCTACCCACCATCCCGCCCTGCCTGTGTTAGGGTTTGGGGGTGGCGCGTATGGGGGTGGCACGTATGCATTCCTCCCTTGCTCCTCCTCCTCCTTCGTCTCCCACTGCTGCAGCTGTCGCTGAGGGGGGTGGATGAGTGGGAGACTGGGGTTTAGGTTTTAAGGGGGGTACGTGGGAGTGGAGCTAGGGGTGTAGCAGCGGGTGTGTATCAGGGGGGTGGGACTGTCTGCGGGAGGTTGAGTGGAGGCTGCCAGCTTGTTGTCCGCAGCACCTGTAGTCCGGGGCGTTGTCTCGGTAGCCCAGTGAGCTTGTCGCTGCGCCAGTCGCCTGTGGGTCCGTTGCCCGTCTGCCGCTGCTTAAGCCGCGGGGCCTGTTACTCCTGTAGTCCGGGCGCTTAGTCCGGTAGCCACTGTGCTCGCCACTCCTGTTGCCCGTGTGTCTGCAGCTTCAGCCGCCGCCTTCTATCTCCTCTCCTCTCACTCTCCCTCCTCCTCCTCACTTGCCCGTTGTGACTACCACTAGCTTTGCTGATAATTGTGCACTTTAACTATTGCTTCTTGAACTTGTGCTCAGAATGTGTGGTGACATTGTGATCCACCCTGAGCTTGTACTGCTTTGCTTGCTCTGCTGATTACACCCCACTTTGGCTATGGGGGTGTGTCAGAATGTTCTTATCTAGCCTGTAGTGGGGTGCTCTATAGCGAGTACAACCCTGTTAGGGTTTCCTATTTGTATCCCCATTCTTGCTAGTCAAGCCCTCTTCTTTCTTTCTAATTTTGACAAGAAGCGCAGGCCTCGGATTGTCAAATATTGTATGTTGTGCTTGTTTAGGCTACAGTGGGCTAGCCTATAGTGGGTACACAATTCTAGGGTTAGGTTTCACATATTTGTACCCAACCCTCATTTCCTAGTCATTCATTCTTGTTTCTCATTCTGACATGAAGCTGGGTAACTGAGTCAATTTTGCTCCAAAAAAAAAAAAAAAAAAAAAAAAAAAAGCTAGCCCCGACTTGCCTCTCACGGCCCCTCCCGCGCTCGCCTCTTACGGCCGAGCCGCACAGCGCGACCCCAGCTGAACCGCGCGACCCGAGCCGAACCGTGCGACCCAGCCGAGTTGCGCCGCCCTAGCCAAGCCGCGCCGCCCTGGCCGAGCCGCGCCGCCCTAGCCGAGCCGCGCCGTCCTAGCCGAGCCGCGCCCTCCTTCCATGAGCAGCAGCACCAGTACTGAACTGCTACTACTACTGCTACTGCAACTGCTACTGCTACTGCTGCTGCTACTGCTGCTGCTGCTGCTACTTCTGCTACTGCTACTTCAGCTATGGCTAGCCCTCCAGTTCTCTCGTTCAATGCTGAGGGCCGCCCGATTAAGTTTGAGACCTGACTCGATGATCTGCACCTGTTCCTCCAGCTCACTGCCAGAGAGGATATCTCGCTGTACGATCACGCACTAGGCACAGTCCCTACTCCTGCTACTACTGCTGCTGCTACTGCTCGCTCACAGTGGCAGACTCGCGATGCCCACGCCCGCTTTGCTATTCGCAACTCCCTGCAAGTCGACGAGCGCGAGCACTTTGGCCAGCATCAGACTGCGCAGGCCCTGTACACTGCTGTAGTTGCGCGCTACTCCTCCCCGGCCTCAGCTGCACTAGGCCGCCTCTCGCTTCCCTACCTGTTCCCCGACCTGTCCGCCTTCCAGACAGTCGCTGACCTCATCACTCACCTCCGCACTAGTGATGCCCGCTTCCGTGCAGCCATGCCCGCTGAGTTTCTTGCCTCCAACCCTCCCCCGCTCTGGCTCACTCTCTACCACCTAGTCACCCGCCTCCCTGACACTCTGCGTACAGTCAGGGACCACTTCCTAGCTCGCTGCCCCACTGAGCTCACCATTGCCGCCCTAGAGAAGGAACTACTTGCAGCTGAGAAGAGTATTGTAGCTGTAGGTGCCTCTCGTGGCGACCCCCGCACCCCTTTCTTTGAGGGGTGTTCCCCCTCCCCCCTGCTCCCCTCTGTCGCCTCTGCTGCTGCTGTCGACCTCCTTGGTGCTAAGCAGGTCGGCTCTGCGTCCGCTCCCAGCGGGCGCCGCAGCGGCAAGGGCAGGGGAGGCAAGGGCGGTGGGGGTGACGGCGGGGGAGGCGGTGGTGGGGGTGGTGGCGGTGGTGGGGGCGGTGGCGGGGCTGGAGGGGCTAGTGGCAGCGGTGGGGGTGGTGGAGGCAGCGGCGGCGGCGGTGGCCGGGGTGGGGGCGGTGGTGGTGGCGGCAGTGGACGTGGCGGCGGCAGGGGCGGTGGTG